GATAGTTGAACATAGATAATCAAGGATACTTCAAACTTTGAAATTATATTTATTATTAAGATAATTTTCTATTCACTATCCTAAGAGCTTATGGAATTTGTTCATTTTATCTGCCAAACTGGCCTCTTGTATTTATCATAAATATGGCTCATGCTGTAATGTTTTTATTCTTGTTTTGTTTTTATTCCTTAAATAATTATTTAATAAAGTTTATATAGATATGAGTCATGCTCTGACCCATCCATTGGTCCATAGACAGCAGAAGGTGATCTTACACTCTTCCTGCCCTAAATATAAACACCGGACAGAAACCAACCAGGAAGTCATAATTATGTCAATAAGACCAATAACTATTTTCTGAGCTAGTGAGACTAGAGTTATGATTCAGGAATTATGCAAGAGAGTCACTTCACAATTTTACCAACAGACTGAAATCAGTACAGGATCAATACTTAAATGTTTTCAGCAAAAGACGTTTTTGGAGTATAGTGAATCTAAGCAATTTTTTTCCATCTTGACAAATTGTGTATTGTTTTGGGACAGTCAACTACGTAGACCACAAAAATGGCAGTAAGAAACATAAACCAGAGTATATGTGTACTTGTGATTTCATGTGTGGCTTATTGCCTTTGGAACAGTATTTTAGTTTTAAGGATTCATATTCCCAATTAGTCAGGGATAATTCTGAGTATTGCTATGCTCATAATAGTTGACTGAAAAGTCAAGTGGTGCAAACCTTGACCCAGTTTTGCTCTACTGAACCTTCTGTGTTCATGTGTGGCTTCTGTGCCTTGGAAGCAGCCCTTTTCAATTATTAAGTCTATCTTCTCTATGAGTAAGAAGCAGCAGCTCTTTGAGTATGGATGGCTATATTAATTAATAGCAGATTCTTAAAATGAAGCGATAAAACTTACTTGTAGACTGGAGGTGAAGTTTACATCTGGAAGAGGAAAGAAAGCAAATTTTATTCTTCCCACAGGCTATGAGAGGGGTTCTTAGTCTGTGCTGATACTTGTTGTTCTATACTTAAATTTTTATTTCATTATCCTCGTTGTTCTGTACAGTAATTCTGAAAGTAGGAATGGGTTGCTTCTTTTTTTTCTTAGTTTTTTTTTATCCTGCCTTTATTATTTTATAAATAACTCAAGACAGTAAACACACCTAATATACCTTCCTCCTCGCTGGCCCACTTCTTCTGCATCCACTCACTGGCGCTGGCGCATGTTGCCTCCCCCGCCTCCATTTCACTGTCAGAGGCCTTCAGGAAATGCCTCTGCAGCTGAGAATGGAGCTTTGGATTGATTCACATGAACTACGGATTGAATCTGTAGCTCAGTTCTCGGCTGCAGAGGCCTTTCCAGAAGGCCTCTGATGGCAAAATGCAGGCCAGGGGGTGTCGCACGTATCAATCCAGAGCTCCACTCTCCGCTTTAGAATCATTTCCTAAGGCCTCTGACAGCGAAATGGAGGCCAGGGGTGACATGCGCAAGCGGTGACGAGTAGCCCAGAAGAAGTGGGCTGGCTGGGTGGTGCTGTCGGTGCCCCCCCCACAAGGTGAGACCATGGAAAAGACACACACACCCCGAAAATAAGACCTGGTGCCTCTTTTCAAGGCAAAAAATAATAATAATACCGGGTCTTGTTTTCAGGGAAACACGGTAGTTGTGTCTAGTCCACTCTGTCTTTTTATTTCTGTCATTGGTAATGCTTTTGGTTGAGAACTTTTGGTAAGAAATTTGAATTCAAATAGTTTTCTAATAATTTTTTATTTACTTTTTCTTTCCCCCCCCCCCTCTTTTTCCCCCTGTTTTATATGATTACTTTCATTTATCCTTGGAGTAATGATAGTGGTGAGATTAGCATCTTGTTCAGAATTCACTAGATTTTTTTTTAATTTTCTTGAAAATTCTACAGTATATTCAGTTCTATACAATCTATTATTTAATAAAATAGTGAATTTTAATTTTTATAGCAGTTGCAAACTTCCTGTTATTTTATCACTTTATACTTTATTTTTTCTTTTTCTTCTTTTTGTAATTATTAATTCCGGTTTTTAAATTTCTTTTTTATTGTTTCAAATGTTTCTCTGAGATTTCCCTTTTTTCCTTCAGATTTGGTACCCATATTCAATCATGCTAGATCTTTAGATTGTGGTAATTGGAATTTTCTGTGTTTTGTTAAAATGGGTATATATAAGATTTGCATTTAGAGGAGAAGAATATCTGCTTTGATGCAGTGTGGGACTAAGTTTTTCTGAAACATCTACATTTCAGCAAGCATATGAAACATTACATTTCAGTTGGATGAAAATTAAATTTGAATTTGACACATTGTCTCACAGCTTAGCAAGTTACCAAACAACATACAAAAGAAGTGCCATTCAAAAGAAGTGCTTTCTACATGTTCCAGCTACTGCAAAGCACCTTTTTCAGAGGTTTTGCAGAACAGTAACAGATATCATTTATATATAGTAGTGCTTATAAATACTGTGCATGTACAGGTAGTCCTCGACTTACTACCACAATTGAACCCAAAATTTCTGTTGTTAAGTGACACATTTGTTAAGTGAATTTTGCCACATTTTGCAGCCTTTCGTCTCTCAGTTGTTAAGTGAATCACTGCAGTTAATAAGTTAGTAACACAGTTGTTAAGTGAATCTGGCTTCCCCATTGATTTTGCTTGTCAGAAGATCGCAAAGGGGATCACATGACCCCAGGGCACTGTAACCATCATAAATATGAACCAGTTGCCAAGCATCTGAATTTTGGTCACATGATCATGGGGATGCTGGAAAGGTTGTAACTATGAAAAATGGTCATAAGTCACTTTTTTCAGTGCCGTTGTAACTTTGAACCGTCACTAAATGAATTATTGTAAGTTGAGAACTACCTGTATTATAATTTAAATAAAGCATATGTTTTTTCTCTCTCAACCAATTGTTACATTTCACTAACTTTTTTCTTTCTGTGCTGTTGATTAATGCGCTCAACTAACTCTAAAATACTAATGTTTTCATTGAATTGATGCATGTACAAGACAAAAATTCACTAACCTTATCACGGCATGTTCTTACAGATGAGGATCGGAGTGATAACATTGTGATAGTTTCTAATGAGGAGATTCCTGAATACATTATTTCTAGTGGTGAAGATCAACATACTAACTTAGAAAATGAGCTTGATTCCAATGGTAATTCAACTACACGGCTAATTCACCTTTCCATGACTAACTTTAATTTAACTGCCAGTACCATGTAATTTGTTAGCTTGGTATTTTTTTTGCTTGGATTCATTTGATTTTCATCAAAGCTCTCTCAGACATTTTTAACAGCGTTACAATTAACTATCAATTAAGGATTGTTTTTTTTTTATTTTTGAAATGCAGTTGTTAAATTATCAGTACTGAATGTAAATTTAATGGGAATCAGCAAACAGTTCTTGATAGACTAGTTTTGGTTGTTATTACCAAAAGCCTATAAATATTTTGTGAATTTCAAGTAAAAACAATTATACTTGAAGGCTATCTTAGCAGTCCTTTGCATATTTATTTGGAATTACTATATGTCTAACTGGATTTTGAGTATTAATTTCAACAAGATAGATGTGTCATAAAACATGGATCCAGGAATTTGATTGTTGAAAGAAAAATGAGGAAATGTGGACAGAAAAATGACAAATGAAATGTACAAAGTGTGCAATAAGGGTGCACTTAACAAAATTCCTATGATCATAGCAATGTTTTTGTCCCAGTCAAGTATATTCATGTTAACAGCAGCAAATACAAGTTCAAAAAATACTGCCCATTGTAAACAAATATAATCCTTTCTAGCATTTCAAAAACATTGTTAGAAAGGCACTGGTGCAAATTATTTAAATTGAGGCAGATCATAATCTAAAACTATAAACCTGAAGCCAATTGCAGTGAAAAGGAAGACTCTAAGTAATGAGCTCCAAAGTGACCATGATTGGAGAAAAAAAATGAATGAATCTTAAATAACACTTAAGTCTAACATATATGCTGCCTTTCTTTTGACTTTCCACATTCTGCTATGGTCTGATTATGGGATGGCAGTTAGTTTGTTTTTGTTTGCTTTTGTTTGTTTTTCTGTTTAGATTTTTGTGGAGTTTTTAGTTCTGCCTTCCTTTTTCCTTATTATACCTTGTTTCTTTTATTTTTTTAAATTTATAATCTTCCTAGAATCACTCTGGAATCAGGCAGCCTCTGAATTGAAATAATAAACAAACAAACAAACATTGTCACTCACTAATAACTCTGAAAGTAAATCTCTCTGAAAATAATAATGGCAATCTATTTTAAAACTTCTTCAAATTGAATCTACAAGAGACAGGTTTTCCTTCCGGGCTACAAAGTGCACTACAATATCATATGAGCTCCCAACATATACGGACCTTCTGTAATGTTGTTGGTCTTTTCTTTATTCCCCCTTCTTTTTGGCAATAATATTCAATATACATTTTCCCCTTTCTAAGCAGTATTCACTGCAATTTGGTCTGAAAACAGGTTCTGCATTCGGATTATAGTGGAAGAAACAATTTCTTGAAGGGAAAACCTTTTAGCAATTAACAAATACAGCTTAGCAAAGAAAGAGAGACAGGTAGCATTGAAGATTGGGGTTTTTTTCTGGATTTCTGTCAAACTATTGAGTTTGCTGTAAACCAGGACATGATATTTAATTTTTCTAGAATATTTGTAGTAAAAAGCCAGGTACTGAGTTCCTCACAAAGGGCTTCTTTTGCTGGATGGAGGCTGGGAGGGATGTTCAAGAATTCAGGAAATTTGTGACAGAAGTTATAAGTTCTTTCCTTACAATCATCTTCATGTCCTTCCATTTGTTTTTGTAGAGTGAAGACGTTTTCTTTTATTTCATTGATATCTGGCCCTTTAGCATATTCAGAGTGTTTTTATCATAATTCTTAGAACTCTTAATAGCAGAAGAAAAGTTGAACCTCATTCAGTTTGGTTGCCTAAAGGCCACGTAAAGAGTTCAGTTATGGCAAGATTTAAACTGGAAACATTCAGATTCACTTAACACAGTAGCCCCTACTTCTCACCTCTTAAAATCATTTAATATATGAGTAGTAATTTTGTTAAGGGAAGGTCTTCAATGAAGGGTTTCAGTCTTTTATATTTCTAAAATAAGGAGCATATTTTGCTGTGTGAACTTTGAATGTTACAGTGATATAACTAGACAGGATATCAAGGGAGCTGTAATCAGATCCTCACTTTCTGAAAGCTAGGCGATTGGATTATGGCTGCAGCACTGGAGGGGGAGGAAGACATTGGATAAGCAACTCAAGTTGAAAGGATTCACACACATATCCTCAGTGCCATGGTTTTAATCTGATTTTCCTCTCCCTACTCCACTGCAGCTGCTATTAAAAGTGTTAAAAATGGCAGGAGAAATGATCAAGATCTTCCAGCATTATATCTTCTTTGGTTCACAGTGGCCTACCTTACTATAACCTACAGTATATAGTGAGAGCCGTTATTCTCACTTTTTCATATAGTGTTAATGGATAAATGAATATAGCTATTACCTATATAGTTAGAAGACTGAGTTCAAACTCTGGATCAAGCAGACCCTGACAAACCATTACACCCATAGTTTCTGACCTGTCAAGTAAAAATAAAGTCACACCGGTCAAGGACTAATGAGATAAGACTATTAAAATATTTTGTCCACTGGAAGCTCTATAAATGGCCTTCAGCCATTATTTTAGCTGAAAAATTAGATATGAATCTATAAATAAGTTCAGTTATGGCAAGATTTAAACTGGAAACATTCAGATTCACTTAACACAGTAGTTCCTATTTCTCACCTCTTAAAATCATTTAATATATGAGTAATTTTGTTAAGGGAAAGTCTTCAGTTTAATCATTTATAATGTTTCATTTGAAAAAAACATGGAGTTTGTTCAGTATACATTCTTCATATAATATTATACTGTAGTGTTTTTCCCCATACTGGTTGGGGAATTGTGGGAGTTGAAGTCCACTCATCTTAAACTTGCCAAGGTTGAGAAATACTGTTATACCGTACATAAATAGGAGGGTTTGTCTCTCACTAATTCCAACATGGCAAGGCTGAAATTGATTGCAATTACTACACTTTGCCAATAATTAAGCAATATTTCTATAAGCAATATGACTGAGGCTGAAGCTGCCATCTTCCTTAAATAATTGATCAGGACAACCTTCTTGAGTTCTATGCTCTTCAGAAATGCTGGACTACAATTCCCATCATTTCCAATGAAAATGTTAGTCTGGAGGGCACCAGGTTACAGAGAAATAGATTAGAGTGAGAACAGTACTATGAATAAACAGATAGCATAATAACATTTTCAACTTTCAAGCCAAACTGGAGAGGACAAGGACATGCCAAGATACATTTCTAAATTTTATAACATAAATTAGAGATTTTTGTTATGCTACAACTGTTCTCTGAGTAATATTTAGAAAAAGTTATGTCTTTTAGTATTCATGCAAATGGCTATTTCATATTTCAGGTCACCAAAATAATGAATATATACATGGATCAATTTTTTATGCCAATTAGGTTATTTCTTAAATAACTTATCAATGTGTGCTTCTGAAATATGATTTGTCCAAGTTCTGAGTTCTGCAGAAATTAATTGAAAGAAAATATATTTAGAATTAATGTTTAAATATAAAATAAAAAATATACATTATATAAGTGCATATTCTAGGGAAAAGAGTTTACCAGCCATATTGATAAAATTAATTAGACATTTTTGGCCCTAAATAATTTTACTTCTAAATAAATTCAGACAAAATCAATTGGATTTCATTTATCTAAATGTATTAATTATTGGCCATAACACACCATGAGCCTTAAAATAACTGAGCTGCAAAGGAATGAAGGCAGGAAAACCGCCACAAAGAATCCATTTTTAAAATGTATTGTTAGGATTCATTTTTTCTTTTTAATCACCTCCGTAATACATTTGCTGTAGCATCTCTTTAAGTTCTCAGTTCTGTATTTGATTTCCATATCAGTTGCAATTTAAAGATTACAACAAGAGCAATGCAAATACTATTTTTAAAATAGATGCATTATTATAGTAACTGCATTTAAATGCATATCTCTCTCTCTCTCTCTCTCTCTCTCTCTCTTGCTGCCTGCATTGTCCTGTGGGCTTCATATATGTAGCTGAGCAGAACAGCAAGTTGGTGGATCTGAAGCTGAAGAAACTTCTAGACGCTCAGCCACAGGTGGCAAATTCATTTACCAGCACAGCTCCAAAACCAGTTTCTGATAACACTGAGCCAATGTTTATGGTAAGTTTAAGAAAAAAAAAATCCTTTCCCCATAATGCCTGTGCATTTTGGATTCTGATTTGCATTTAATAGTGAAGAATCACCATTTTTTAATAAGTTCTTCAAAGTTTACAGTACTGTAAAACCACTTTTTGTAGCCACATAAAGAGATTTGAATTATATTTTGCCTATGTATTGACAGATATTTCTCTGATAATGTATTGACAAGTGCACCTGTTTTTTTTAACTAGTAATGGCTTCATTTGGCTATTATGCTATGAAATAATATATTTTGGTAATATTTTATTTCAATTAAAATTCATTGTATTGGCTGTATAAAATGTACTGAAATATATATTACTTGGCTAACTCAAAGTTAGCAATATTAAGCTGGCAAAGTTTTGTAATATTAACTTGGCCTAAATAAAGTTATTACCCTTGAAAACTTACTATTTCAACTCTAAAGTTGCTTATTTTACCCTCTTCCTTCTTAAGCTAATTTATTAATCTGGGGTGGAGTTCTTTTGGGGCCTATTTTAAGTAACTTTAAGAATTACTCTTTCTTCTTGCTTTAAGTGATATCTTTAATTAAACATTTGCATAAATGATTTTAACATGTCGATTATAGAAACTGCATTTGTATCTTGGATAGTTGAGCCATTCTGCCATATTATTTGTCAGTGGCAGGAAATTCTCTCTCTATACATAGGCTTTGATAGATTTGTTGGTGCATCTACTCAGCTTATTGTCGTCATTAGTCATAGCTATTACTCCTTAGGGAAAAGATTTGGATGGCTGTGAGTACAGTCCACTTGTATAACTTTTCACCCACCTGCAGACTGGGGGTGTATGCCCTGCTGAGTGAAAGGATTTCCTTCCCCAGATACAGAGATGCTTTGAAGTCTCAAAACAATGACTTTCATTGCTTTTTCCTTTACACTGTCGGTTCCGATAAATTGGTGATGAAAGTGTGCAGAAGCAGGAGCAGCAGCAGAGGGCTTTCAGTCTCTATCTTTGAACAAAGAGAAGCTTGGATCAAGTCTGATTTTTTGCGTTCAATTTAGCTTTCTGCAGTGGATTTAATGCAAAATGAAGCTGGCCTTGGAATAATACAATGGATTGAAAAGGCTAACTGAATTAGTGGGCTTAGAGGAATACATTTGTAAAGTGGCAGAAGTCCGTAGTCATAAAAAGGCTTCTTAAAATGGGATTTACTGGCTAATCGCACTGATATTTTAACATGTTGCCAGGCCTAAAAAATTAGCCATGTTTGTTTATTTTGGTAAAGACTTGCATTTCGACTGTCAGATGGCTATTGTATGAAGAGTTTGAAGAGTTCCTTTTCTTAGAAGAATGAAATCATAGCATCTGGATTGTTGAAAAATAATTTCTAGAATGAGGGATGCTTTTAAGAAATTAGCTCCATAAATGGCTGATTAGTTTCCTCTATTAGGACAATTTCATTCAGTTAAGATGGCATCCGTCTCACACACACCAGCAAAATAGTTTTTATTCTAATTTCACACATTTGTATGAAGGAGAGGATCTTTCATTTCTGTTCATTCCACACACACACCCTTTTTTTTTTTAGTAAGTGCAACAAAAAGTATAGCTGGATTTGAACACTTTTTTTAATGCTGCATGAAAAAAAAGTCCATCTGTTCTCTTAGAGCTTTCAGCATTGACTTGGATTTATGTTTCTAATAAAACGCAGTTTACACATTTATAAATAGGCATTCTGTGTTTGTGGAAAAGGATAAACTGTTACCTTCCCTGGAGGATTCTGTATCCCAGGCCTCCTTGAGGCTAGAGAATAGGCCATTGGAGAACTCCCTCATTACCAATTGTCTCAATGCAGAGGAAGGGCAAAGTCTTGGTAGCTTTTGATAACCAGTTTCAGCATTCAGCAGGCTTAGCTATTAGTCATGCATCTTAGCCTTTCCCTATTTACTTTCAAAACACTTAATAAAAATAATAATAGATTAGGTATAAAATGAAATATTTGTTTGGTACACAGCATCTCGGTATCTGCAGTTTCCACACACGGCGGTGGTTTAGTCTTCTGGGATATTTCACATTGATAGACCCATTTGAATGTATTACCATAGGAAGCTCTGGAAAATGGTAATTTTAGTTTCCGGAGCTGTCAAAGGTTTTATTTATAAATCTGGATTCATAAAGTTGTAACTAATGAAACATAGTTCACTGGGACTATAACCTTACTTTTTATTTGTCATCAAGCATTAGTGACTCATCTCAGTGGACATAACATTAGAAATGATTCTTCGTGTTATACAGGAAGTATATGTGGCTCCATTCAGAAAGACACAATATTTTACTGGGGCAAATCATGTGTGCAAAAGACTAGAGGCAGTATGCAAATTAAACGGGATACGATGTTTAAAAATACACATACTGTTCT